CATATTAAATGATGTTTGTTGTATAATATACTACAGGTATTATTCACATATAGCACAGAATTCATACTACACAATTTCATTTGTAATACAAATTGGGGTTGGGGGAGGATATAAACTAAGTACCTAAGTCTTCCAGGAGATGCAAAGGAAAATAAGGCAGTCCTAATGCTCAAAAAGCTCATAGTCTTATCTCCTGACCCTGCACAGCCATGTTGGAAGCTGCCTCCAATCCTTCTTATAATGAGGTAGGATATATGGGCAGTGGAGGGACAGATAGATTGATGGATCCATAGAGACCAATCAACTCTCAAAAGTCACTGGGTCACTGGGATGCCCTGACCCACCCTCCATTGCTTCTGTCTCTTATACACATCTGGATCCAAGCTGAGAAGAAATAGCAGAGAGTTGGAGAAAAGGTTGTTCTTGGAAATCCACAATGCTGCCTGCACCCTACGGTTTGCCCTAAACTGGGCAGGCTCAAAAGATGAATAAGGGTGTGAGTGGGAAGACAAACACCAGTAGTTGGAGGAAGCCCACTCTCTGGACAGGTTCTCTGCATCTGTAATCTGGGAGGGAGGTGGATATTACTATTTTCATTTGACAGTTGAAGAAACTGAGGCTCAGGAGGTTAAGTCTCATCATCCATCTAATGAAGACTAAGTGCCAACTTCACATGCTAGGGACTCACTCAACATCATAGAACAAGCAAATGGCAGAGCCCAGATCCAAACTCAAGTCTGGTGGATCCAAAAAAACCCTGAGTGTACTCCATGAATGCCCATGCATGAGCTTATTGTCTTTTGATGAGTTTTCTACCTAGTTGGAAAGATAAGACAAGCAAACATGAAAAATTAATTATACCACTGGCAGGATAACAGACACTCCCCTCCCCGCCACAAATGAGTGACACCTTGGGAGATGCATGGAGGAAGGTCGGTGGGGATTGGGGCCCAGGGAGGCTCCTTAGGGCAAGTGGGATCTGAGGTGAGTTTGGAGAGATGCTGAGATTTTGATGACTTAGGGTGGGTCTGAGTCCAGAAGTTTAGCGATGTTATCTGGAATATATTTGGAGTTAATCAACCCTGCTAGGAGTACGGGGCTGTGTGGAGGATGCTGTGGGAGGCCACCGGAAGTCTTCTGATATCTAACGTGCCCATTTCCCTACAGCACTGTTTGTGTTTGAAATATTCATCTACTGTGTCTTGCAATAGGGATCCCCCCACCAGTGGCCAGAGTCAGTTGTCTCCTGTCTTGCTCATCTGCATAACGAGGGTGAGATGGGTGGGGCTGAACTGGGGGATCTCTGACATTGTTCTTGTCCCTCTGACTCAAGAGATGGAAAGGTAGGTTAGGCCAGAAATCTAGGACCTCCAGGGCTTAGGTCTACAGATGTTGCCAACAGGGACTGGCTGGCCCCTGATACCACATCCCTGGGCAATTGATCCTACCAACCATGGTCCTTAGTAGAGAGACCTTGGTGCAGGCCAAGCTGGTTAGAATGACCATCCATAGGCTTGCCCCTTCTTGTCCGCAACTTATTTCTTTCAGGGGTAGCCTCATTTTTTTCTATGCCCAGGAATGGCTGTTTGATGAGGATCCCAGATCCTATATATTGTGTATGACCACCACTGTGCGTCAGACCCCAAAACAGGCAAATTCTCCCAAAGGAGCACATCTTCTCTGGGCTGATCCCAGGCCAATGCTGACCCAAAGGCCTGAAAAGCAGAGTTCACTGTCTAAGGAAGCATAAAGGAAGGAAGGTGAAAGGTGAGTGGGGATGGGGGAGATACTACTTGATGTGGCGTCAAAAGCCAAAGTTATAGGGGGTATGTGAGTCTCTCATGCTAACTCCTCAGTTTTTCTGAAGCCCACAAAAGGAACTGACTTGCTCAGAGTGGCTCAGCCCACACAGAGTTGACAGAAACCAGAGATCGGAAGCAAAGCTTGGTGTTTTGCCCAATGCCCCCTGCCACGCCCCTTCTGGAGTTTCATTTCCTATGTATTTAGGATGGGAGCAAGGACAGGAGGGCAGGGAACAAACTGGTCCCTTGGGATTCTAGCTGCTACTACTGCCCATCCCTCCCCCTGACCAGCTTGTAAACAAGTCTAGTTCCCAGGCAGCCAGCCAGCCTGGGGAGCCAGACCCAGACCAGGAACTGGCTCTGGGGCAGCCCCCCAGCCCCAGCCCCACCTCCTGAAAGTCCCTGGCCTCCATACTCCTCATGATTCTCCCTGTCTCTAGTCCCTGCGAAACAGAGAAGGTCAAGAGGTTTTTGTCTTTCTGTCTTGCTCATCTCCACTCCCTCCTGCCTTCTTAAGGGAGGAGGAGGGAGAGGAGAAGGATGGGGTAGAGTAACCTTGGGAAGATAAAGCCAGTCAACCCTGGGAAAGTAGGGAGTTAGCAGAGGGCAGGGTTGAGGAGGAGGGGCTGGGGAACTTAGAAGTAGGGGCAGCGGGGGAGGGGAAGATGAGCTTGCAGAGTCCCCGACTCACAGGTGGAGCCCCAGACATAAGGAGCTGGATGACTGCAGAGAGGACTCATTCCCTGCCTCTGACTCCCAGTGGGGGAAAAGAGCATGTTTGAGGAAATGAACTAGGAGTCATGAAATAAGATGTGGACAGGGGCCTGGGCTCAAGTGAGAACTTTCTCTTAGATGGCTTGTTTATTCATTCAAAACCACATATTAAATGATGTTTGTTGTATAATATACTACAGGTATTATTCACATATAGCACAGAATTCATACTACACAATTTCATTTGTAATACAAATTGGGGTTGGGGGAGGATATAAACTAAGTACCTAAGTCTTCCAGGAGATGCAAAGGAAAATAAGGCAGTCCTAATGCTCAAAAAGCTCATAGTCTTATCTCCTGACCCTGCACAGCCATGTTGGAAGCTGCCTCCAATCCTTCTTATAATGAGGTAGGATATATGGGCAGCGGAGGGACAGATAGATTGATGGATCCATAGAGACCAATCAACTCTCAAAAGTCACTGGGTCACTGGGATGCCCTGACCCACCCTCCATTGCTTTACTTATCTAGGCTGGGAAAGGGTGGGGGCCAGTGCTGGGCTGGTCTTAAGTACACAGGAAGGAAGATGTGGACTGTAGCCTCTCCACTGAGAGACATCTGGTTCCTGAGCTACTTGGGTAAGGATGACAGCAGCAACCTGATTTTGTGTGTGTGTGTGAGTGTGTGCGCGCGCCGTGAGAATGCACGCGCACACACACGTGTTTGTGTTGTAGACCATAAAGGACTGAGCTTACTACACATCTTCCTGCACCACCTCTTCAAGCACCTCTGTCCTTAGTGTTGAGAGTTCTACCTTAAGACCTAAATTCCTCTTGCTTCTATTTAAGACCATCACATTTCATTGTTGTGGAGCCAGAACATGCCTGGGCAGCCTGTACTTGTGGAGCAAATGGGGACAGTGGGGCGGATATGCACTAAAGCAACACTGAAAAGTAGGCCACCTTGACCTCTGGCACCACCTACCAGCATTCTCTATATTTTCTATCTCCTGGGACCCCTACCCCCATCCAGTTTTTTTTTCTGCCCTCTGCTGAAGAACTTTTGGGTGGTCTCTAATTACCCTCTGTTCCCAAATGCTCTACTCATTCCTTTGAGATGGGGATCCCAGCTAAGTGTTCAAATAGGAGCAAGCTGATGAAAGTGGTTCCCCAGGTGTGAATCCCTACAGAATTAACCTTCAAGGGTCTGCTGTACAGAAACGAAATGTCAGCTCTCTCCTCAGGCAGAATGAATGTCAGGAGTGGAGGGATTTCTGGAAGTGCATGAAACTTCCCATGGAGTCTTCCCCTACCAAGCGAAACATTGCCTGCCCCCCAGCAGTGATGTCACCCCAATAGGTAGGGCTTGGTTCACTGCCATTCTGCTCAGAGAAGGCAACAGATCCTTGGCTGTGTGTGGTGGCTCATGCCTGTAATCCCAGCACTTTAGGAGGGCAAAGCAGGCAGATCACCTGAAGTCAGGAGTTTGAGACTGGCCTGGCCAACATGGTGAAACCTTGTCTCTACTAAAAGTACAAAAAAATTAGCCAAGCGCGGTGGTGCATGCCTCTAGTCCCAGCGATTTGGGAGGCTGAGACATGAGAATTGCTTGAACCTGGGCAGTGCAGGTTGCAGCAAGGTGAGATCGCGCCAGCGCACTCCAGCCTGGGTGACAGAGCGAGACTCTGTCTCAATTAAAAAAAAAAAAAGCCACAGATCCTGGAGCAGGAGAAGGGTCAGTGTCACCTACTTTCCAACAATGCTTCAGAGACCTGGCCCCCAGCTCCTTCCTCCTGCTCTTCAGTTCAGGGACACAGAAGATATCAGGGTAGGAGGTCCCACCTTAGAGATGAAAGCCCAACACACCCATTTTACAGGAGAAACTTGGGCTACGGAGGGGGTATGACTTTTCTCAGCAAGGCTCCATTCCCTACCCATTCTGACATCTTGTGGCATTCTCTCTTCCTGGGATTGTTCTTGCCTTTCATCCGGGCTGTTCAGCTGACACATATCCAGCTTGTGGTCCACTAGGACCATATCATTCCTTGATACTGCTTACTTTTCTTTGGTATCTCTTGATGACACATACTTTCTCTTGACAGCCTTCTTGATCTTTCTTCTGTGATTTCTTTTCCTTGTCACCCTTTTGGGCTACACGTTTGAGTTTTAACTTTGGTTTACCTGGTGCCAGCTGCTTTCACCTTCAGTCAAATTTCTATGAGGATTTATTTACAAAGATGTGCGCAGGAAGATAAGATTGAATCTTTGCTCTGTAGCAATTATCAGAATAGACTCTAGTTAAGAGGGGACGCAGACATGGAATAGTAGGAGAGCCAGGCAGGACAATCTCAAGTGCAGTTTGGGGGTAGGGTGGGAGGGCATGTCTCAGCTCCCGGCTGGGGGTTAAGTAGGGCTGGTCTCCCTCCCTTCCACCCCAAGCCCTTATAAGGGTTATACCCCTGACTTGCTATTATCTGCTTTCCAGGGCTGTGGGCAGCCCCTTGGTTATGGACCCTATCAGCATCTGCAGGAAGGCACGGCGGCTGGCCGGGAGGCAGGCCGAGTTGTGCCAGGCTGAGCCGGAAGTAGTGGCAGAGCTAGCCCGGGGCGCCCGGCTCGGGGTGCGAGAGTGCCAGTTCCAGTTCCGCTTCCGCCGCTGGAACTGCTCCAGCCACAGCAAGGCCTTTGGACGCATCCTGCAGCAGGGTCAGTGTGGGGAGGGGGCGGAAGTGGGGCTGCCTTCTCCAGGCTGGGGGACCCGAGGAGTGGGGAGCTGGTTCGCTGAAGTTGCCTGAGCCCCACTTCCCCGTCGCATGTATCTGGGCACTCTGCAAGGACCCTGCCTCCCAGGCCCCTGGTCCCAGGTTTCAGGTCCCAGGCCCCAGCTGACCTCCCCAACCCGTGCTGATTGCACCTCTCTGCATTCGCAGACATTCGAGAGACGGCCTTCGTGTTCGCCATCACCGCGGCGGGCGCCAGCCACGCCGTCACGCAGGCCTGTTCCATGGGCGAGCTGCTGCAGTGCGGCTGCCAGGCGCCCCGCGGGCGGGCCCCTCCCCGGCCCTCCGGCCTGCCCGGCACCCCCGGACCCCCTGGCCCCGCGGGCTCCCCGGAAGGCAGCTCCGCCTGGGAGTGGGGAGGCTGCGGCGACGACGTGGACTTCGGGGACGAGAAGTCGAGGCTCTTTATGGACGCGCGGCACAAGCGGGGACGCGGAGACATCCGCGCGTTGGTGCAACTGCACAACAACGAGGCGGGCCGGCTGGTGCGTAGGGGCACGACGGAGTGAGTGTGTGCGGAAATGTGAGTGTGCGCGGAAATGTGAGTGTGGGCGCAGGAGCGTGCTTGAGAAAGTGTGGGCAGGAGTGAGGGCGTGTAGGTGGAGGGGGCGTTAATGTGTGGGGGAGTGGGCATGTGCGGAAAGACGGGCTGCAAGCATGGATGAACATGTGGGAGGAGGGGTGTCCAACCTCAAGAAGGAGTCACTTGGGGGTCTGAGAAGGCCAGATGCTGGGCGATACAGTGGGCAGAATGGGGAAGGGATACTCAGGGAATAGGACTGAGGGTCTTTAGTGACCCCAGGTAGAGAGGGCACAGCTTCAAGACAGGACAGGTGAAGCAAAGCTTGCAGTGGGTAGGGGGTCTGGATGCCTGGGCAGGGGCAGAGGAATAAAACAAAGGTGGGGATGAAAGACAGGATAGAAGCTAGGGCAAGGTCTGGGGACTGGGTAGAGGGAAGTCAGGGGGAGTGAGAGAGGCCTAGAAAGAGTTTGAACATGTCTGAGGGGCAATGGAAAAGAGCGAAGGACAGGGAACCAATCCTGGTGGAGGTTGGAGGGAGTCAGGTGGAGGCCAGGACAGCTGTGACCAATTCTGGGCACTTGCCAACTGGCTGCCCAGCAACCCCAGCCCAGGTCTCACCTGCCCAGAGCTATGGCAGCCTCTCCTCTCCCCTCTGTATTGAGGAGAGCCCCAGGAGCTCTCCTTCAGGAGCAAGAAGGTTGTCTGGGTGTGATGGTTCTAGGAAGGGGCAGGGTAGACTCAGGCTGTGGACAAAAGGTCAGGTTAGCCCCTGGATTCTGAGCTTCCAAAAATGATTTTCTTGGGTCTTCTGAGCCATCAATCCTTGGTAGGGTTGGAAATCTTAGACCCTGCTTCAAACAGTGAATAGGGGAGAGGCCGCCTGGGTTCCACTCTCAGTACTGCATTCCCAGCCGGCCCTCCTGCACCCTATGCCTCAGTTCTAGGGTTCTCCAGGGACACGGCCATACATACCGTGTCCTCTAGGGTTCGGGCCTGAGGCATCGGGCAGGGAGAGGAGGGGGCCTGAAGAGGAATGTCCGGACAGGCCCACATACCTGCCGAGAGGGCTGGGGCGGGATGGCGGAGACAGACGCCCAGGCGGCTGGCTCTGCATCTCTGTTCAGCCCTGCCTGGGGCTGTGAGGGGTAGGAATGAGGGGGCCAGGTTGGCAGGGGGCTGGCTAGGCCTCCACAGCTGCCACCTCCCCCCTCCTCCAGAGAGAATCTCATCCCTGCTGTCCATTCTGCTTTCTCCCCCACCCCCTGGCTTTGGACCCTGGAATCTCTGCGCTGCATATTGTCCCCCGTCTCCCTGCTTCGTCATCATCATACTACTCAATCCTCACCATTCCTCCTGCTCCTCCCTTCCGAGCTGTCCTTTCCTTGATTTCCTCCTCCTGAACTTGCGGTCTCCTTCTTTTGTCTGCATTTTCCTCTTCCTTTCACTTCCCATTCCCAATCTTATTTTCTGTCCATCCACTGGGCCCTTCCCTGCACCCCCATCTGTCCACATGCGTCCGCCCCTCTGCTCCCCGCAGGCCGTGCGGAGCCACACGCGCACCGAGTGCAAATGCCACGGGCTGTCGGGCTCGTGCGCGCTGCGAACCTGCTGGCAGAAGCTGCCTCCGTTTCGCGAAGTGGGCGCGCGGCTGCTGGAGCGCTTCCACGGCGCCTCACGCGTCATGGGCACTAACGACGGCAAGGCCCTACTGCCCGCCGTCCGCACGCTCAAGCCGCCGGGCCGAGCGGACCTCCTCTACGCCGCTGATTCGCCCGACTTCTGCGCCCCCAACCGACGCACCGGCTCCCCCGGCACGCGCGGCCGCGCCTGCAATAGCAGCGCCCCGGACCTCAGTGGCTGCGACCTGCTGTGCTGCGGCCGCGGGCACCGCCAGGAGAGCGTGCAGCTCGAAGAGAACTGCCTGTGCCGTTTCCACTGGTGCTGCGTAGTGCAGTGCCACCGCTGCCGTGTGCGCAAGGAGCTCAGCCTCTGCCTCTGACCCGCCGCCCGGCACCTAGACTGACTTCGCGCAGCGGTGGCTCGCACCTCCGGGACCTCAGGGCACCGGCACCGGGCGCCGCTCGAGCCCAGCCTCTCCCTGCCAAAGCCCAACTCCCATGCCTCTGGAAATGGTGAGGCGACGGACTTGAGAGGAACACCCACCTACGAAGGCCCAGGGCGCCGGACGGCCCCGAAAAGGCGCTCCGGGAGCTTTTAAAGGACACTGTACAGGCCCTCCCTCCCCTTGGCCTCTAGGAGGAAACCAACAAGTCAGTCTAAAGGCCTCTGGATACTGGGCTCCCCAGAACTGCTGGCCACGGGATGGTGGGTGAGGTTAGTATCAATAAAGATATTTAAACCACTAGGGCTGGACCCACAGTTTGCGGGGAGACCCATCTTCAGGCTGCCAGGCTCCAGAAGAAGGTAGTTTTGCTAGAACTAGCACCTTAGGGGCCATCACCTGGGTCCCTATCTCCCGACCAGGTTGGCCTCTCCTGGAAACTCACTATCCCCCCTTGGTATTCTTCTTGTTCACTCCTGTCACACATCTAGGGCCTGGATCTGCAAGCCGGAGAAGAACTAGCAATTCCTCTTTAAAGGGACAGGGGCATCAGAAGCTTCCGATGGTATGCTCAGCTCTCAAACTCGTCCTTGTCTTAATTTTTAGGGGACTGTGTCTGTTTCTGTGACTCCTGGGGAATTTCTGGGTAAACTTTTGGGGATACCTAAGCCCATGGGATTAAAGCACTTTATAAACTGTAGAATGTGATGAACACATGTTATTAGCTCCACCAGGTTTTGTTACCATCAAAACTAACTTCACCCCCATTCACATTGAAAAGACTGCCCAGAACAGCATTTCTAATCACACTTAGAGGGAGAGGAAGCAAGTTTGTCCCAACATTTCTCTTGGCACCCAGTAATATTTCCTTCCTTTTGGTTCCTCTTGGAAAGCTGATGGTGAAAGTGAGGAGACAGAGAGCAGTTCTGGATTCTCCAGAGCTGAAACTTGAGCTCTCATCTTCCTCCAGAGAGAAAGAGGGAGGGCATAGCCCAACTTCCAGGACTCAGAGCCTCCAACTTTCCTCCAGTCCAAATACTGCAATGGGGAATGATTCCCCCATGAAGGTATGGAAGACAAAAAAAAAAAATGAGCTTTGGGGTCAGACACTCTGGGTTTGCAGTTGGTGCTGCTGCTTAGAACTTTACAACATAGGCCAAGTTAGCCTCATTTTCTTTATACAAAGGGATTTCGCTCTGTTTCAGTTATCCATTGCTACATAAGAAACAACCCCAAAGTAATTACTTCTCAGGATTTTTGAGGTCATGATTTGTCAGAACTCAGCTCGGTAAGTCCGCTCTATGCAGCAGAACCATTGGCTTGGGTTCACATGGCTACATTCTGCTGCAGTATTGACGGTGCTGTGCTGGACAGTCCAAGAAGCCCCCACTCACATGTCTAGGGCACAGAGCTTCTCTTGTGCTCTCATTCTCTCCATGTGGCTAACTTGGGCTTCCTTGCTGCATGTTAGCCTTAGGATAGTCAGACTTCTTACATAAGACTGACATTTTTTTTTTTTTTTTGAGACGGAGTCTCACTCTATCCCCCAGGTTGGAGTGCAGTGGCAGGATCTCGGCTCACTGCAAGCTCCGCCTCCTGGATTCATGCCATTCTCCGGCCTCAGCCTCCCAAGTAGCTGGGACTACAGGCGCCCGCCACCACACCTGGCTAAGTTTTTTGTATTTTTAGTAGAGATGGGGTTTCACCGTGTTAGCCAAGATGGTCTTGATCTCCTGACCTTGTGATCTGCCCGCCTCAGCCTCTCAAAGTGCTGGGATTACAGATGTGAGCCACCGCGCCTGGCCAAGACTGGCTTGCATTTATTTATTTATTTATTTATTTATTTATTTTTTGAGACGGAGTCTCGCTCTGTCACCCGGGCTGGAGTGCAGTGGCCGGATCTCAGCTCACTGCAAGTTCCGCCTCCCGGGTTCACGCCATTCTCCTGCCTCAGCCTCCTGAGTAGCTGGGACTATAGGCGCCTGCCACCTCGCCCGGCTAGTTTTTTGTATTTTTTAGTAGAGACGGGTTTTCACCGTGTTAGCCAGGATGGTCTGGATCTCCTGACCTTGTGATCCGCCCGTCTCGGCCTCCCAAAGTGCTGGGATTACAGGCGTGAGCCACCGCGCCAGGACAAGACTGGCTTTTAAAAGAGAGTGTACCAAACTTGAAGGCAGAAGCTGTAAGTCTCTTAAGTCCAGCTTTGGAAGTTACATAGCATCACTGTAACTCTGTATTGGTCAAAACAGGTCACAGAGCCAGGCAAAATTCAAAAGGAGGGAAAATTAATTCCACCTCTCAATGGGAGGAGTGGCAAAGAATTTGCAGCCATCATAATCTGTCCCACACCCTCGCAGGATTGTTGGGATAATTTTTTTTTTTGAGATATGAAAGACTGTAGCATAGCTCATGATACATAATTTGTCAAACATATGTTTAATAAATGATAGTTGCTGTGAGAATGGGGATAGACATATGATGCTTTGCAGATATTGGGCAGGCCCTGATTGCAAATGAAGGTACCTGACTTTTAGCTGAGGCCAAACAGAATTAATGAATGGCTCTTATACCGGGGAAGTCCAGAGGTTAGTTTGAATTCAGGTACAACTGAACCCAGGGGCTCACATGGTGTCACAGGCTTCTTTCTCATCTCCTTCCCTCTCCCTCACCTCTGCATCTATTGTTTCTGCTTATCTCTGCCTCTCTTGGCATACTGTCCTCATTGTCTCCTCCTGCAGACTTTCTCCATGACAGCTCTATATGCAGTCTTAGATCCAAAAAAAGGAAGAATGACCTTCCCAGTTGTCTCCAACAGAAGTCCCAAGGACTTCTGTTCAGCTTGGTCATTTGCCTATTCCTGAACCAATAATGGTGTCCAGGGAGATGACGTCTAGGGAGATGCCTGCAATTGACAGCCTCTCTAGAACCATAGGGGGGCGGGGTGGGCACCGGGAGCAAAGCACAGTTCTTCAAATAAAACAGAAGGAAAGGGAGCTTATTCTGGATGTAACAGACCGTGGCTTCCAGGACCCCTGTCCTTCCCCCGCAGTGCTCCTGCATTCACTCGGTGACCTAGCCTGCTTCAACCCTCAAGGCTCATGGTGGGGAGGGGTGTCAGGCTGCAGGGGGAAGGTTGAGGCACCAGGGTTTTCCTTTCTGCCTCTTCTTGGCTCCCTCGGGTCAAATGTCTGGGCTTCAGAGAAGTCATGGAGAATTTGGACTTAGAACTCCTTGACCAAAGGAAACTCTGTTAACTTACCAAAGGAGACAGTGGAAATACATAATGGTCCACATAGAGGATAAATGAAGCTCCCTGAGGGCAAGGTTTATATTCACAGATCTGCTTCCCCAAAGCTCTGCTCTTATCTTCAAACAAAAAAACCCCCCAAAACCCAAACTCCTGCACTTCTCTCAGAGACCACCAGGGGGCATGCGGAGCCCAGCTTCTCTATTAACACAGAGAGACAGGACCTGCAGGACATCTGGGAAACTCAAGGGAGTGGTGGGCAGGAGAGGATAGGGCTGAAAGGAAGCAAGGAGACCTACAAACAGCTTGGGTCAAGCTTCTAGGGTTCCAGACTGTCTGAGACGTCTGGGCAGGCCCAGACCTAGGGCTGGGATGCCAGCCTTCCGGTCTCTACCACTGCTGGGTCCTGCAGGGGGTGAGATAGGGTAGATGATGCTGGACATCTTCCTCCACAATGCCAGAGAGGGAAGCTGGGAAAGTGGCATGAACTGGCACCACCCTAGGCAGGTTAAAAAGAATTCAGAGGAAGTAGTATGATACAATGAAAAACGCCTCGTTTGCTAGCTTGACCTTGGTCAATCAGTTAACCTTTCTGAGCACTTCCTATCACCTAATAGGGGTCCCTGATTGCTTTTTAGCACATTGGGAGAATGCACTTCCATCTCTAAACTGCTGGTCATATGTTACTAGTCCATCTTCTGTGACCAAGCCCTGAAGGCGTCTGGGCACTGCCTTCTATGAAGATTGGGAATGATGACCCGGGAGGCACCATTGGGACTTCTAGCCTCATCTTCTTTGAGCCCTGAGATAGATCCGTGCTCTCTCCTTGCTGCCTGGGAAGGGGCCGGAAGTAGAGCTCCCACCACCACCCACCCCTGCTCATCCAGCTGCTCAGCCCCAGGCAGTCTGAGCCATCAAAGTCCCCTGCTGGCTGAGTGGCAGGGGACATGTGGAACTGGGGAGATGGGGGAAGTGCACAGAGGCACCCCAGATGTGCGTGTGACCACATCAGGAACAGGCAGAACACAGGCAGATGGGTGAGGAGGCCGAGTGGAAGGCCTAGGATCAGCCTGAGACCACGGGCTCGGGGAACATTTCCCTTCTCTTTCAATGACCAAATACATTAGGAGTTTGGGGAGACTGGAGCAACAAGCCATTCCCCCTTACCTTGCTGAGGGTTGGTAGCCCCTAAGGCCTGGACAACGGGATGAAGAGCCCCCCTATTGGTCTGTGGCTCCTTGGCTTTCTTCTACCCCAAGACAAACTTCTCCAGCTGGGCACCAGGACTGGGCTGGGGCTGGACTGGGCTAGGCTCGGGTTGTGAGGGTCCCACCTGTTCTCACCCCCATGCTTCCCTGGCCCTTCCTCCCTGTGACCTTCTCCAGAGCTGCCACAGCTGGAACCATTCTCCAAGCTGCCTTTCATCCCCAGTGCTCCCCCGCCCCCCAGTGGCCCCTGTAATTGTGGTCTTAGGCGGCGGCTGCGGGGGCTGGGGCTGGGCTGAGGGCCAGGGCCCAGGGCAGGGCCAGGGTGGGGACTAGGGGGTGCCGATAGGGGCTTGGCCATGGTGTGGGTCATATGGGGCTGGAACCCCAGCTGCAGACATTCTCTGGGCCTCACCTACATACTTGCCAAGGCTCTGGACTGACACAGACCCTCCCCTCCCTTCACTGAGAAGTGCTCTGACTTGGGTACTCCTAGACCCTCCTGACACCAGGGCAGAGCCACGCCTGAGTGCAAGCCTCAGGAATCACTATTTGCCTCCTGAGTTGTTTTTTTTAAGAAAAGGTCTTCTCTGTCTCCTTTGCATCTCTGTATTTCACAGACAGTGGAGGTGGGGGAGCAAAGAGACCCCCCTCATCAGAGAGATGCCAAAGGAAACTAAATCAGCTCCTCAATCAGGTCAGCAGCATTTCCCAAAAGGAGTCCCCACCAGAATCACTGGGGATGCTAGCTAGAAAGACAGACCCCCAGGCCTTTCCCTGGAAAGGCTGATTCAACTGCATGGGGCCTGGAATCTGCATTCCCACAATGGCCCACCCCAGGGGATACTT